GACGAAAAAAGTCTTTTCCTTTTCATCTGTCTCAGAAACGTTTTCCAATGCTGGCTTTTTTTTTTTTTTTTCTTTCTCAAAGCACGCTGTGTGGTGATAGAGAGAGTGGTGACCTACACCAAATGCATGGGCTGTAAAACAACCACAGTGGCTCTCTGAAGCGGCTAACACGTTTCACACAGCTGCAGAGCGTCTGTGGTTTCACTGCTGTGAGGAACATTCAGCGTACATGCCTTTTGACTCATTTATTTATTACTGTTGAATGGAACTGAGTGGCGCTTTGGCCCAGAGGCAATGTCTCTGTCATTGGTGTGGAACCCCAGGGTTCACCTCCTGGGCAAGTTCGAATCCCGGTTAGGGCGGTTGGTACCTTCCAGTGGACTCACCACCTGCAGGAAGGTTCAGGTATGGTGCAGTGTGATTTGGGTGGCAACTGCTGCCCCCGCGACCCGGTAACGGATAAGCGGATGAAAATGGATGGATGGATGGATGGACAGTAAAAATTAAATCAAAGCAAAAAATATGTTGCTTTATCATTATTTATTATCACATTGAAAAATTACAATCATTCCGACTTATTTCATTCTGTTGTTTGAACACTGACATGGTAGGCTGTGCAGTTTTAAGGGTTTTTGTCTGTTAAGAGCTGTGACTTGCAGCACTGTGGCTACTAGCAGCACAGTAATACACTCCTCTACTGTTCAATTCCAGGGATTTTATGGTTAACGTGCAGCTCTGGTTTCTACTCGCACCGCCGGACAACTCCACATCAGCCTCGGGAAATGGTTGTTTGAAGTTCATGTATCCCAAAGAGACAAAGAGTTGTTTGTCATTTTGCTTGTACCAGTAAATTCTGTCATAGTTGTTATCCATGTGTAAACAGCTGATTGTGGCTGATTGTCGTGGATATTTGCAGATTTGGTCTGGAGTTTGCTGGACTTGGATCGAGGAACCTGTTGAACTCAAATAATGAATTCCATTAATGTGTTGGTAAAAGGTCACCAAAGTGCAGGTTCTCCTGACAAATGTAGTAAAATCAGTTACCTGGATTCAGCACAGTGTTGAATGCTATGATTAAGAAAGCAATGTTCATGTTGCCTGTTGTCCTTTTCTTTGTTAATGAGTGTAGAAGACAGTGGAACTGTTAGAGTTCATAGTTTCTTCCTCTCTTTTGGCAAAAGACTCTGAGCTCATTGAAGCTGAGCTGTGTGGGGGTTGTCACAACATTTGTCATCGGTCCTTTTTCCCTCTTTGCATAAAGGTCGGATTTAAAGTCATGCGCCACCTTGTGAAAGAAAACCATAATGTGATGGTGAGGTTTTGGTTCTGTGGTGGTGTGATCTGTAGCAGTGTGTAAACTAGCAGCACAAAAATACACGGCACTGATGTTGGGGGTCAGGTCTAACACGCTCAACGTGGCGGTTTTGTTTTTATTTGCATCCCCTGTCATTTTTACGTTGAGTCCAGGTTCGGGGTAACCATAGATAATGTTCAAGTATCCCAAGAAGTGCAGCTGCCTGTCGTTGAACCGCCTGTACCAGTAGATTCTGTCGTAGCTGTCAATACTGTGGGAACAGTTAATTTCAGCGGCTTCTCCTGGTTTGTGGTGCACAGCAGCTGGAGTCTGGTGAACTTTGTCACTGAGAGAAGAACCTGATGAAACAGGTCTCAGGTTTAATCCAACAGATATTATTACCTTAAAAACAGTAGGTCTTACTCTAGTTAATATTGTTCAATAAAAAGCCAAAACCTCATCTTAATATAAAATACACCATAATCTGCTTAAAGATAACGTCACTGTAGAATTCCATAAAAAATAACTTGTATCAAATTACCTGTGACCTGTATCACTTTAATAGTTATACAGAATAGAATGAGAACCATCATGATTGTTGAGTTTCTTGACCTTATGTAGAATCAGTCCTAGGTAAGTGTTGATATTGCAATAGATGCAGCAGCATCAGGTGCTGAAGGAAACCCTCCAATCATCACCGTTCGTAAAGAGGAGAGGTGGGAGTTTAAAAATGCGCTGAGGTTGGGGCACCATACAAAATTATTCAACATAATTATTCACCAAAAAAGCTGGATTCACCACCTTGAATAGTAAATATAATTTAATAATTAATTTAATATTTACAGTTATACAGTAGAATTCAAGTGCTTTAGTTGTCAAAAACAAAACAAAAACTCTTTGTTCCATTAGTTTGTATACAACCATACCTTTGACCAAATTGTTGTAGGAAATTACAAACAAAATGGTAACCGTGTACTGTATGAACAGATAACACTAATCAAACTGAGAATTTAAGTTAAGTCAGTTTTATTTATTTAGCCCAGATTTTGCGTCATAGGACTTAACATTTACAATCAAATTATGACTACAATCATCCCCATTCCAAACAAAATCCTCTCTAATAAAAATGAGAAAATGTATATCTAGTCAGAATTACAGTATATTGAAATTATATTATAAGACATGGGCATAATAGGTTTTGTATTATCTTTATTATTAAATAGATCACAATTTAGTCAACATGAAAAACAAGATTTAAAGCAATTTCAGATCTGTGGTTGCATGTGAAGTTATTTTTTTAGTTTTGCTATGTAAACATAGCCAATTTGAAGGAGTACTGTACAATGTTGGAATACAGCGTTTTCTTTCTCAGTGGGAACAGTGTTGAGACTGAGCCTGGGAACCATCAGACATCTGTCACAGGGTAGGCTGGGAGCAGGCCAAGACTGTCTTTGTAAACCAGTTTGTACCACTGTGTGCTGACAAGTTGCCAGATCAGGCCATCCAACCTGAAAATGTCCCAGAGGTTCAGACAGATTGTATGTTTATGAAATGTTTGTCATCAGATGTGAAAGTCAGGTTGATGGAAAGTTGTTGCTGATATCTATAATAATTTCCTGTTGACTGATGCAGCTGTGCTTTCTTCACTGAATTCGCATGGTCGGTTATTAGAGGTGGTTTTTGTAAAGGGATGGAGGTAATCTGCTCGTTGTGTATACTTGCAACACAGTAATAAGTGCCAGTATCTTCTGGTTTTCTGAGTTTAAGCACATGGAGTTGAGATTTTGAGGCACCGTTACCAGTGATGTTGAAGTAGTGGGTAAAGGTTTTCTCAATGTCTGGCTTATCATATGAAATATATCCAATAAGGTTGAGGGCAGAATCACCCACAGGCCGTTGGTACCACAGGATCACATAGTAAGATGTGATGGAATGTTCACAGCTGATGATTGGTAAATTATTAGAGACTCCAAAAATGGACGGTGGACTCTGGTTGACTTTGGCGTACAGTGGTAGACCTGCATTAAAGGATAAAAGAGAAAAAACAAGTTTAAACTGAACTGTTTTTTTTAAAAAAAGATCTGAATTCAGTTAACAATGAAACATACAGAAGAGGGAGAAAAGCAGCAGAATATTCCTTAGATGTGTGTGGACCATCATGTCTCTGTGTTCTCTCCTCTGAGTTGACTGGCCTTCTCTTCACACGTTAGAGATGTTTGTTAACAACTCTGTGGTTGATGCTCTACTGTGATGAAGAACGTCATCAAGGACACCAGATTGGGCTGGAAAAAATTAGATTTGAGTTTTCTTAATTACTCAGTCTCTGCTTGGATCCAATTTAAAGACAAAAAGAGAAGAAGAACAAAAAAGTCTTAGTGCATTTATTTTATGGAATAAAATATATATCAGGGATGCGGGAATGTGTTTTTGTCATTCTCTGATGTAAATAATGTTCTAACTTCAGGCCAGTACAAAACACAAACCCTGCTGGTTAATGTGGATGTGACAATGTGTTAAAGGAAGAATATTCTGCTACTTTTATTAAATTAATATATTTCTACATGTCTGAATGAAATGTGTGCAACATGTTTTGGTAGAAAGGAAAGAAAAAAGTATTGACCACAGTTGTCTGTCTCCCCTGTGTTGTTTACAGAAACATTCTTGTTCCTCAAGTGTTTAGATAATACACAGTAGTTGCTGACCATTGTCTTAGTTTTACTCTTGGTTTTACAGAGTAAAGCAAGTGGTGCTTCTCACACAGGTGGGGGAGGGGGGGGGGGGGGAAAGGGGGGACCGTGCTGGGGGCGGATTCATTCCAATCGTCTGCTTTATCAGTAGACAGTGACTCTAGAGACACAAATATTTGCACCAAAACCCTGACCAAGTCCATTTTACATAACAAGTCCCCTTTTTTGAGTTTATTTTCTTCTTCAGTGTCCATAGTTCTGCATAGTGCTGTCATTCAGCTCATACTTTTTACAATATTGAGCAAATTCATGAAGACAACACCAGCCTAGTTCAGGGTCAGGCCTAGACGTGTGGGTGTGGTTTTTGTGCAACTTGACAATTGGCCTGACAGAGTGTGTGAGTGAGTGGGTGCACTGACAGCACAGAAGTAGACTCCGCTGTCAGCTGTTCCGACGTTATTGACTGTGAACTCTCCTCTTTCAGCATCATTTTTCACTGCTGTGAATTTGTCTTGGTCTGAATCTCCATACTGGTGTTGACTGTTGTAAGGCACTGTGAAAACAATCTGCTTCAAACTCTCTCCTGGTAGCTGCTGAAACCATCTCATCTCCAGGTACTTTCCACCAAGGTCATGGCTGCAGACCATCTCTGCAGACTGACCCCTGTTTACCAGTAAACCTGTGGTCTGGTGGACCCTGTTTGTCCTGCTGCCTGGAGGCAGACCATGAGTAAGATGGTTAAGTCTGTGTCTCTTAAAGTCTTTCTGATGGTCATTGATTCAGTAATTTAGTTGAAATGTGATACAAATGTTAAATACCTGCAACATGGAGCAGAGAAACCGTCATGATGATAGAAGTAGGTAGCATTATGAGCCCTGAGTAAGAGACAGCCCCACTTCCTCTATTCATCAATGTGATATAGAACGTTATGTGATGTCATAGCTTTGGCACCACCCACATCATTTACATACTGTGTTTTTCTTCTATGTTTTTTTTATTTGTTTAGCCTGCATTCACAAAACACATTGGTCTTAATAAACGCCACAGTCTTGAGAAGATAATAAAATTATTTTCCCCAAAAAATCTCATTACAAGGAAGAACGGAAGAAATGTATACAACGTAGTGTTGACTCCGATCATGGGCTGTAGTTTCTTTAAGACTATTCCAAGAAATACAATCATGTAAAGATGTGTCAGGACCAACAGCAGTTTAGAATTATTGAGAAGTTAGACTAGATACTGATCTGGTGAATAAATGAAACGACTGTGAGATTAGCTAAATGCTTAAAGAATAGTTACATTTTGATCCAGTAGTTTTAGTGGAACCAATAAGACCAGAAAATGCTGCAAAGCTCTCCAGCATGCAGTCCTGGTCCTTTTTAATGTAACAGTATACTCTCTGCTCTGTCTCTGTCTCTGAGCTTTAAGAAGTAAACTAATGCACACATCTGGAATGTATAAATCAATAACATCAAAAGTGTCTTTCATTCTAAAAAAGGTTGGAGACCCCTGCCCTAGGGTTTAGAGCTCCATCTAGAGGACCAAATATGTAACGACCCCCTCTGGCCACATCAGTACAGTGCAGTAGATTAATTGTACCACTGCCTGGCAGGTCTGCACCGTTGTGTTGACTTACAGAGCAGAAATAGATCGCACTGTCGTCAGGCAGCAGAGTCTTCACTGTTAAAGATCCAGTTTCAGCATCTTTCTTCTCAGCTGGATATCGCTCCTTGCTGAAGCCGCTTTGGTATTGGTGTGGAGGAGTCAAAGTGGTGAAAACAATTTCCTCCATTGTCTGCCCTGGACGCTGTCTGTACCAGTACATCTGGAAGTAACTGCCTCCTTTGGTGTGACTGCAGTGCATGGTGGCAGACTGACTTTTGTTCCTCCACAGCTGAGGAGTCTGGGTCACATCACTTCCATCAGTGAGAGCTGCAGAGGTCAAACACATCATGTCACACTAAAGGATATCCTCCACTGTAGCCTTTAGTATGTGTCGGCAATCATTAATTCACTGACATTGAACAAACCTGACAGCAGTAAATATGTAGTTGGTATTACAAAGATACACAAAG